ATCTCTGGATCTGTAGACACACCACCGTTGATGAATGGACTCGGCTTGGCCGTTGGATTGATTGATGAACGTCGCGCTGGTCACGGACCTCTCATCCCTGTGCTGGAGAAGTTCTGCGTTGTGTATTCGGATCCGCTCACTCTGACCAATGTCTTTGCAGAGAAAGGTTTCCGTGTACCAGTCCTGACGGTGAGTATCATTGGGCCTCGTGTGATCGCAGTGTGCAGTATGGACTTGCGGTGCCGTGTTCAGGTCTCCTGGAGAAACGTTCAAAGTGCTGACAGCCCAAGACGAGTCTTTGCTCAGATCTGGTGACATCAGTTGTGGTTTCTTCTGGATGATCCGGCAGGAATTGGAGACACTTGCAGACACCGGCCTGGTGACATGGAGACACTTGCAGACAACGGCCTGGTGACATGGAGACACTTGGACACACCGGCCTGGTGACATGGAGACACTTGCAGACAACGGCCTGGGGACATGGAGACAATTGGACACACCGGCCTGTTGACATGGAGACACTTGGACACACCGGCCTGGTGACATGGAGACACTTGGACACACCGGCCTGGTGACATGGAGACACTTGCAGACACCGGCCTGGTGACATGGAGACACTTGGAGACACCGGCCTGGTGACATGGAGACACTTGGAGACAGCGGCCTGGTGACATGAAGACACTTGCAGACACTCTATACCAAACTCGATACCAAAAAACCAGTATCGCTGCATCCCTAATCTCTACCAATCACAGAGATGTCTGACACCCGAAGGGGGGAGGGGGGGAGGCTATTCTTTACGAAGGTGTCCATACTTCCAGAATTTTGGGGAGCCCAGTTACAGTTGGAATGTGAATTGTTTCCAATGAAGGACTTTTCACAGGACTCTCCATAGATTGGCACTGTGAGAGGAGGAACAGTAAAGCACAACAGCTATTACCCCCTCCTCCTCAACTACTCCCCTCCACCAACAAGTATTACCCCATCCACAAATATTTCCCCTCTTTCCCACCTACTCGTCAGTCACTATTACCCCTCCTCCGCACTAAACCAACTGCTTCCCCTCCTAAGCACCTACCCCCACAACAAATGCTTCCCCTTCTTAGCACCTACCTTTTCTGCCATTATCTCTTCCAATGTTCTACCTGAATACCATTCATACAGCTGGTGGAAACAATTCACTCAGAACTCCAGTAGGTGGCGCCACCTGACTCTAGTTATCATTAGTAGTACAGGAGCGCCCCCCGGGGGCCAACCGTGGTATTCATTGAACAGGCTGTGCCAACACCAATCACAGTATAAATCAATAATCAGATCAAAATCAATATATTAATTTCTTTATAAACGAAGTGAAATGAGAAAATATGAAAAAAAGCAGCAAAACTTTGATTCTAACCCAAAACATTTCCCGTGTTGGAGGCAGGTGGAGAAATGTGTTCTGGTAGATATACACTAGGTGGCGCTGTGTCTGCACTCCTCCATTGAAAGTACACGCGCGCCATCTAGTGGCCAATCCAGCTAACTGCTGCTGGTTTATGGAACAACTGACCTATCGCCGGCATCTTATGTTTTATATTTACATTCATATACAGTTCCTGATTATCATTACCTGGGATCCCCTATATCATCTCCCTCCTCCACAGTGACCCCAGTAGTGGATGGAGGAGATTAATGGCGGACTGAAGAATGGGAAATACGGAACAGCAGAGAGATGAGTGAACGCGTCCTGGCGATCGGGGAGCAGAGGTCACATGACAGCGAAATGAAATGAAAGATCAGCAGACGAGGGACAAATGAGGCCGGGCGTAGGAAGAAAATGGAGGTCCTTCCAGGCCCAATTTTTTTGTGTGGGGGGGGGGGGGTGATTCACATCATGATGGATGAGACAATGTACAAAGAAAACATCCGTCACCTCGATACATTCATCAGCAGATCGTCCGCGGAGGAATAACGGGACGGCGACCTCACATCACCCTCCAGAGTCACCTTCATCCTCCATGTGGCACATTGATGGGTTTCCATTATTTTGGCCGATGTTTAAAAAGATTTTGGTAAAACACAATTTTACTGAGGGAGGGGGGTCAGCTGAGAAACTGCAGGCGGTGGCATTCTGCTCTAAATCGAGTGTCTCGGGACGTGCGCCAGGATTCCGCCTCCAAGGACAACTTGGGAGGTCTCAGGACTTGCTGGAAATGACAGTACCTGAGAACCTGAGAAGATTTGTATCTGCCTGTGTGTATCCAGCCAGTTAAATCTGAGTGAGTCTCCCCCCAGTGGTGGCCAGTGGTATTGCAGTCCTGTTTTACCTCCCCAAAATAAGTTCTCTCCTCATTCATCCTCCAACAAACGGGGATCAGGGTCCGATCAGTGAGTCACGGCCGGTGTGAGCTCTTCACAAGGTGATTACAGGGTGCTGTGCACAGAGCTCCGCCTCCATAAAGATGAACAAGGAGGAGAGTCCTTGTGACTGCTGGAGGGGACCCGGGACTGTGTGGGGGACACGGGGGGCGCCAAGAGATTCACCAAGAGTCACTGGATGACATGGATTGCTCAGGATACGCTGGGGGTCACAGGAGCCATGGGGTGCAAGGTGGTCTGGAGAGAACACTGGGGCACCCGGGCTTAGGCATAGCAATGCGTCACCTGGCCCTTTAAGCAGATTCCCCCCGTGTGTCCTCACCATGTGTGCCCCCATATGTGTCCCTGCTGTGCCCCACCCCCATCCCTGTGGTTCCCAGCTATATCTGCCCCTGTGTGGGTCTCCCTTGCCCCTCCCCGGTGTGTGCCCCT